CTCAACTCAGTTCTAAGGAGTAGTGGATACCAGTGAATTGTCAGGACAACCTGACAAAAATGCTCCAGGCGGTACCTGTTATGAACTACATATGTAGTATTCCATCCAGGGGAGTGGCGATACTGCTAGCCACTTTATACTATGGAAACCAGAGTGAAGTGCCAGCCTGATTAGCCTGCAAGCAGGCCCACATTTGGGGTCAAACATGAGCCTGCTAAGCACCATGATCTAGGCTTACTTCAAGTTACATGTACTTCACACATGTTTCCGGCCTCCTTAATCTTTAAAACAGATAACAAAATCTCACTTGTAATGGAAATGTGTATTGGGAATAATGAAAACACATCAAATAAAACAGGAACTTTAAGGACGGTGCCTCCTAATACCAAAGTATTTTTGTGCGGTTTATGACAATGCGGGAAAAGCAGATCTTAGCAAGGGCTATTGGATTCCAAAAAGAAAATTGGGGGTAACCACGCATTTTTCAGAGATAATCAAGCTTCAATATGGAAAAAAATGCTGAAATAGCATTTTCTCGGATAAAAAGAAAAACATTTTTTCGCAGATTCCCTTTGAATTTGACTTGACATACACGAAAGCAACAATAAATATAAAAAAGCTTCAACATACTTAACAAATGGTAATATAACAGCTACTGTTTATGTGTTTTTTAATTAAAAATCATCGCAACGTAGCCATTATCAACCCTGACAGCTCTCCTCTGGTATACCAAAAATACAGTCTAAATAACTTTTGCACACAACAAAAAAACATTAATCATATGTTTAATAGGCTTACCGCTTCCATTTTATAACATAAAAAGTAGGGGTCACCACGCGTTTTTGTAAGTTATATGAAGAAAACTACCATATATTTCCCTGCCGAGCTTAGCCTTAAAGAGATTTTGCAATGTTCTGTATGTGCGCGTGCTCGAGCGCGCGCTAATGACGCGAGAAATTATGCGCAGAACGTATGCGCAGTAACAATAGGAGGCACCGTCCTTAAACACTCACTCTTCAACGCTTCATCAAAATCTTGTTTATTATCGTCATCTTCTCCCAACACCCAAACCCAAGGATTTCCATCAGCAGCCATCAGATATTCTACACTCTTTGCATTTGCTATAAAGAACAAAAAGTAAATTATAATTTTGCTAACCTACTGTTAGAATCCGCAGGCATGGTGTGGGAGAGGTCTGGGTTCCAGCCAGGAGTACATTAAATGGTATGTTGATTATCAACTCGGAGTTGATAAAGGTAAATTAACTGCTGTAGCAAATTTCTAGAAGCTGACGTTTCGAGCGTTAGCCCTTCGTCGGAGCAAAGTGGAGGATTGTGGGTTATACTTCAGAACAGTTGCCTCCATATAACAGTGTTACCAACTTTTATTCGCTCCTAACAGCGAATAAAAATAATCTGAGATTGTGTGTGTGTTTATATACCAGAGTATTTGGAGTTCCGTGATTGGAGAAAGCATGGTAACAGAGAATGCATGAATAAATTAGTTAATTAAGGTGGCTGATAATGGTTTACAGCCCTTGCGCTTCGATGGATCGAAGCACAAGGATCGATACTACCACCCTGATTGGGCATTTGTTTTATACCTTTATTTCAACATCAACTGATATAGAGTGGTAGTATCGATCCATCAAAGCACAAGGGCTGTAAAACCATTATGAGCCACCTTAAATGAGAAGCGTTCGTTGATCCAGCGTTCGTTGATCCCATGGGGAGCCAAGGTGCTGATTTGAAAGATAAATTTGTGTTCTGAAGTTTTGCGACTTTCAGTGTTGCCTTGATGAAGGGAAAGATTAAAATGTTTAGACACAGGTTTAGACACAGGTTTGTTTTTAATGTCTCTTAAATGTTGATGGAAGCGATCTCCTAGTCTGCTTCCTGTCTCTCCAATGTAAAGCATTTTGCACAGAGTGCAAGTTATGCAGTAGATTACATTTGTGGAGGTTAAAATTATGTTTTTAATGGCATGGTTTTGTGGGTGGTAGGTAAGTGTAAATGGAATTCTCTCTTCCTTAGACCTTTGTGATGTTTGTAGTGGGGTTTGTTGGTCGGTTTGTTGTGCGCGATCTCACCCTGTAATGACAGCCTTTGAAAAATTTGCACATTTCGTCTGACTTGGCTGTGAGTCAGAGTCGTCGCTACATAAACGTTGTAGTCTAAGGAATTGAGAATAAGGGATGGGGTTTTTAACATGCGGTGGGTGAGAAGATGAATGAAGTAAATAGCTGTGGGAGTCTGTTGGTTTGTAGTGAACACTAGTTTATAGGCCGTTGCCACTGATAGAAACATTGATTGTCTTAACTAACTTTAAACTACATTATGTACTCCAAGACAACCTGGAAACAAATCTCGGCAACTTTTTAGTTAAAAGTTCTCTTAAAACCGACAAACAACCAGGTTCTTTCAAATGCTTGTGCGCGTGATGTAACACTTGTCCCTTCATTCACAACACTGTCAACATCTCAGGTCCAAAACGCTCAATCAAAATCACCGATCGTTTTGACTGCACCTCCAATAATGTAATCTACTGCATAACTTGCACTCTGTGCAAAATGCTATACATTGGAGAGACAGGAAGAAGACTAGGAAATCGCTTCCGTGAACATTAAAAACAATGACGTTAGACGTTAAAAACAACGATAGAGGACGCCTCTAAACCTGTGTCTAACCATTTTAATCTTCCCGGCATTCTTTTGAAAACATGATTGTTTGCGGCCTTTCCCTTCATCAAGGCAACACTGAAAGTCGCAAAACTTCAGAACAAATTTATCTTTCAAATCAGCACCTTGGCTCCCCATGGGATCAACGAACGCTTCTCATTTAATTAACTAATTTATTCATGCATTCTCCGTTACCATGCTTCCTCTAATCACGGAAACACAACCCACAATCCTCCACTTTGCTCGTCAGCTTCTAGAAATTCGCTACAGCGGTTAATTTTACCTTTATCAACTCCATGTTGATAATCAACATAGTGTTTCACTTGCCTGCCGACGCAGCACCACAGTTTCATTAGAAACTAATCACTTTGTACATTAAATGGTACTGGCAAATTGTTGGACATTACAAAAATGCTGCGGTTGGGGTTACCTGTGATGGACTAGTGTATTGCATCCAGGGGAAGGGGGGGGGGGGGGGGGGGGGGGGGGGGTAGCAAAACTCCTTTCCTTAAAATCACATTTCATGCCTACAAAAACCAGAGTTAAGACCTTAAGTGCCGATGAGTCACCAAGCTCGGCTCCTCCAATTTCTTGGACTGAAACTGACTTTAACCTTTTAAAAATTAATGTAACCTTAGAATCCACAATAATATTTGTGCTGTGATATGGTCTATTGTCATCATTATTTTGTCATCTTCACATAAAACAAGTACATGTACTCACCTCTCTTTGGACGAGACTTTAGTGGATTATCTTCTTCTCTCTTCTCAAGTTCATCTTCATGCACACGCCATCGCCGTACTTGCTCTTCTCGCATCTTGACAAAAAGTATCTGCTTCTGTTCTTCAGGGAGCTCAGCCAGAAAGATCAGGGTCAACGTACATATCTCGGAAGAATTTGGGCCAACATGGTGATCAATTTGAGGAATAAGGTTTCTGATAAAGAAAAAGAATCATGATTTCTAAAAAAAAAAGTAACTCCACAGCACATCCAATACAAGTCCTTACTAAGGTTAAGGTTTAATGTTTTAAGTCTGTCTACAACAAGGCAAGAAACTTGCAGTGTCCGAACGTCCGGGACGGGTGACTTTCTATTCAGACAAGGGAAAACTTTATCCTTCTTGTCCGATCGGACGAGTGAGTTACAGTAGAAGTCTGTCTTTAAAGATCAATTGAAGGGCATGGTGGAATAAGGGCATTATTAACAATATAATTATATTGTCGTTATGCCCTTATTCCAGCACGCCCTTCAATTTTTACCTGGAGAAACTAGCAAAAAAAACTACGGGGAGATGTTTGGGAACTAATTTTTAGGTCACATTCCAAAAACGAGGCAAATCTGAGCGAAAAAAAAAAAGTCCTAAAACTCAATATAGGATGGTCATGCACCCAGCCCTACAATTGATCAATAGCAAAGAAGGTGTTGCCTGTCAAACTTATCCATTGTGTTGATTTCCGACATTTCTATTTCTGTCGCTTTTGTCACTAGAATTAGAAAGAGGTATCTAGTCACAGGTCGTGGGTTTTTTAAGCTCTTTTCTTGCATGTTCTAGCCTTGGATGTCCGATCCTTTCCATTTCCATTGAGCGTTTGTTGGAACAGCTATATGGTTAGTCTGGCCGACACCAGCTAACGGTGATGTATTCCATCGGACGGTCAGCGAAAATGAATGTGAATGTCTTTCACTGATACGTAGACAAATCAAATCAGAAAAACACAAACAAAAAGAAACGTTACTGTCATTAGTGGTGATGTTGAGACCATTGACCATCAAAGCGTGTTTACTATTCCGTTTACCCTATGTTTAAAGTATAAAGGTAAGGCCCCGTCCACACTAATTCGTTTTCGTATGAAAACCTATACTTTTCGATGCGTTTTCATCTATCGTCCACACTACAACGATCGCAAATGCTGATTGTTTTCATGGAAAATGGAATAGCGTGGACAGTGAAAACGGAAACTTTCGAAAACAGTGACGTATAAATCACATCACAAACATCGCATGCATGTCTATTTGTCCACAAGGTATGACAAGGTATGACAAGTAAGATTTGACCATCTATAGCTAGTTAATAAATTTGATAGTTTATAAGAACCGCATCATTTAGTGTTCTGAAACTGTATTTGTCAGTTTACCAAACGCAACTTGTCTTATCTTTTTTCCCCAAATTGAGCTTCCAAATTGGGGGTGCGGCTTATCTACGGGTGAGCTGGCTTATACATGGAGTTTTATGGTATTCATTCCAGGAAGATCATATATTCATCCTCTATGGGTTTATTATGAACTCACAAATTATAATTACATGTATTATGACCAGCTCCCAGTTGGCTCAGTTGGTAGAGCACTGCACTGGTATCGCAGAGGTCATGGGTTTGAATCCTATCAAAGCCTGGATTTTTTTCAGGCTTTCTTTTTGCAACTGCTTGAGTTGCGTACATGCATAGCTGCAATGGTCTTTCCTGTATTAAACCTTTCCGCAGTTCAAATAATGATATGATATTTCATAATAATTATATTCATTCTCATGTAATTTTAGTGCGAGACATTTCACCATTTGACTGAGTGAGGCTTCTTCAGTTTGACCTAAAGTGTACATGAAATCTCCCAAAGAGAACACATGTTTTAGTCTTTGTATCAATAAAACATGTGTCTGTGACATTTATTCCGAGTGCCTGTTAATACAGACACCCGGATAATACAGACACTTTCTCGTGTCCATTTGATGTCCGTATTAACTGTACATGTATCTATGCACACTGAATATGAAACATTAAATTTTTGTGAGGTGATCCTGTGATATCACATTTTATTATATAGACACAAGTGTTTTACTGGAAAATAGACCACTCGTAAAATTCATACGAAACTACATCCGGGACCCGAGTGGCGTATTTTCCATATCCTCACTAGTGAGGATATCGATGACGTCATTTCCCGCTTTTGCATGGCTTTTTGTACAAAGCTGCCAAACTCCAGTTGAAAAAATGGCGAGCGATAGATTCGCGAAATTCACTGAAGCCGACATGAAATCGTTCACTGAGGAGTAGGAAAATGTTAACATGAAGAAGAAAACTTCATAAACTTAAAATTATTCAAGGAGTTCCTTGCAAGTGAAGACGAAAGGAGAGAAATTCGGAAAGTCCAGTCACCGAGCTGCAAGTTAGAGTTTGCGATAAAGTTTGACGTGCTTTTGTCGTTTGTCTATATAATAAAAAAGAAAATTACACGGTGGCTTGAAGATATGAATTTTATTTTCGAGTGGTAAAAACAATATTTTACCACTCAAAAATAAAATTCATATCTTCGCGCCGCCGTGTAATATCCTCTATGTATGCTTTTAGTAAGTTACAAACAGAAGCTTATCACCTAGAAGCGTGTAACTTCTCTTTATATGTTTGGAACAATGCGTGGGTTTTTTCCCGACCAATCAGAATCGCTGAATCAATTTTGCCCTTATATGGAAACTAGGATTTTCGCGCTCCTCGCGAGAACTACATCTGTAATGGCGGCTTCGCAAGGAAAACTTTTCGCCCAAAGAAAATATTAGGACATTTGTAATGCTGGGAAAGCGCTAAGTGTTGAAGTATTATTTGGAAGAGTTCCCAGTGAGTTGACAGAAACCTTGAAGGTTTATTTCGACTTGTCCTCAATGAGTTTGAATCTGTGAAATGCATGCAATATAGCTTGTTGTGTAGCCAAAGTGACAATTATTTTTTCGATGGATAAGCTAAATACGCTGTGCTTCAGGATTTCTTTGATTTTATATTTTCGGAAAGAAAAAGACCCGCATGTGGTACGAGTTGAGGAGCTAGCCAGCTAGCCGGGATATGTGAGATACAGTCAGAGAAAATGCCATCGCCGGGTAAGGATCTTGTGTTATGTTTTTGATCGCTGTCAACAGTTGTTGATTTCAAAGAACCGCAAGGTAAATCTTTTTGCAGATTTTTTGAGCAAGAGGACATTATTATAGTCAAAATAACGGCAGTATCAATCGAGGAAACAAGAATACTACTCCTTTATCCGAAAATTATGAGTATTTTTGTAAATATGTTTTGGTGTTTACTTAGCGTGTTTGTCGACAGAAATAGCGTGCGGTATTAAAATTGTGGTTGTTTTCAAGTTCTCTTGTAAATTTTTTCTGAGAAAGATAATTTAAAACTTGCAGTCAAAGTAGCGACTGTATCGCTTTAACAAAATAGAAAGCTATTCAGTTACCTAAAAATGTAGAGTATTTCACTGCAAACGAATTTGTAAAAAGGTGTTGTTGTGTTTTTAATGAGTTCTAGATCAATCTAACGCGCGGATGATAATTATTATTGTTGTTTACAAGTTTGGTTTATATATAAAGAGCAAGGTTTTGAGAGCCGACAACCTCTTTAAGCTTGAAATGAGTTGTTTAACCTGGCTAGTTAGTGTACAACTGAATTGTATAAGTCGATGATTCATTTATTTCACGAGCTTGTAGCTGAGGATTTGTGTTCGCAAAGCTTTCTTTCGCTGTCAAACTGAGTTATTAATTTCAAAACAACCGCTTCCAGTAAGCCTGCGAGAGCAGACGTAATTTCCGGCTCGAGTTTCCCCGCCAGCGGGGAAACTCGAGCCGGAAATTACGTCTGCTCTCGCAGGCTACCGCTTCCAGTAGCTTTAAGACTTTTCCCAACAAGAAAACAACCGTTATTTCGATCAAAACTATCGACAGTATCGCTTCAGAAAAACCAGATAGCTTTCCTTATCCAAAAATGTGGGGTTTTTCTCGTGGGTAACGTTTGTACAATGTTTTTGTGCTAAGTTTTTGAGAGATTGTTGTCGATCACGCGGGGAAGAAATTGCATTTTTCATGCATTTTTCATGCATTTGCCGTTGCGCTTTGAGAGCAGTTCTTCAGACCCGAAAAACCATCTTTAACACTTTAAAAAGTTGATTAACCTATACTAATATTAACGTTTTACCGATTGTCTTTTATTTAGTTGTATTTAGTGAGCTTGTTGCTTTAAATTTGTCTTGCGGCAAGCGAATTTTCCACTCGTAATTTTTCGAAATTTTGTGGCTAGAAAATATCGTATCATGAAGTTGTAGTACACAATAAAACACTTGCTTTTTAAACTGTGGTGTTGATGTTTGATTTTTTGCTAGAAAAGATATGTAATGAGTGTGTATACTTTATTAAAGGTGGCTGATTCTCAGAATTGCAGACAAGATTCCCAGAAAATCGACTACGCAGTACGCACCTTTACGCGCCTCGACGAATAAAAATATTCCCGGAAAAAATATTGCGCGCAATCACGCGCGTTAAACCGCATCTGCCATTCCATATAAGGAAGTTAATTTTGATTGGTCGGGAAAAAACCCACACATTGAATCGAACTTATACACTTCTAGGTGATAAGCTTCTGGTTACAATAATTGTATTTTGATCACTTTTTACTGTTTTAATTTACTGGCACACAAACCTCAAAATCAATGATCCACACAAATGGTCCATAACTCATGCTTTTACTTATTAAAAGTGAAAAGGACTATTAAGTCTTTGGTTTATTCCAAACATATTACAGGACTGAGAAAATCTTCCTATCTTCAGAAATCTTTTGGATATTTGGATGTTTTGAGAAATCATCTACATTAACAGTAGCCTGCAAGAGCAGGTAGTTTTTTCGGATCTTGCTTCTCGGGGGGTGAAAAATGAGCTGGAAAAAACTGGCTGCTCTCCCAGGCTAGAAATCTTGAGACTTCTGAAACTGTTGGGTCCTCTTCACTCTCACATATTTTGAAAGGTACATTGTATAATTATGTCAATTTGAATGACAACACATTTCTTAAATTATAAACAAAAGATAGCTACATGTAATCTAGTTCTAACACAACAGTTACTTTAAAGATAAACTCACAGTTTATTTAAGTTGTTGTTCTTTTAACAGCATTCCAATATAGAGGAAGATGACAGACAGAGCACTTAGGACACAAGAAAGAACAGCAAATACCACCAGGCAGCAAATCACATTATTATGCATTCCCAGCCTCCATCACATCACTGCAGCTTTACCAAACCCTGTAAGAAAAGAGATCAAATAAAAGCAACCAATGAAGACAAAAGGGTGGACGAGGCGGCAGATTATAGAGCGATGCGCATAAATTTGGTGATAAGCGCCTCAAAAATTTGTAAGCGAGTACATGAAATTGTAGTCTCCTACGCAGCCGTTATTTGTGTCGTCACACAACGCTTCTCCCCACTAACGGCTGCTCAAACCTGGACCACATTCATTTCCTTTTGTTTTGACCACAGTAACTTTGGACACCTATCGGCAAAAACGTGACTGTTACCGTTTGCCGAAAACCTGCTAAATCGATCCAATTCTTGAAACTAGGATGTCTGTTGTAATTATAATGAAGTTTTTTCGACATTATTTTTTTCATATCATACATTTTTCATCAGTAAAACCGTGTTTTATTTTGATGTCTGGTGTGCGTCAAATTCAAAAGGCGGCATACTGGCGTGCGTTTGACGTTTCTGACGCTAAGGTCATGATAAGACATGATCTATGATTGGTGTATTTTGGCGCGAGCGAGTTCCGAAAATGGCACTGCAACTGTGATTGGCTTAAATCTGCAAAGGAATGTGGTCCAGGTTTGAGCAGCCGTTAGTGGGGAGAAGCGTTGAGTGACGACACAAATAACGGCTGCATGGGAGACTAATGAAATTGTTGTTGTTGTAAAAAAAACAATTATTGTTGTGACACATTAATATTATTTGACTTCCATCAAATCCATTAAAAGCAAAAATGAAGTCGCCCTGTACAAATACTACCTAAAGTTAATTTTAGGTTGAATTGATTCTGCGACACAAAACAGCACACAAGCATTCTCGTCCCCAAGAATCGAGACCTCTGGCCGGTTCCAAAACCGGAAGTCTGCGAATCTCGGACTAACCGTCAAATCTGACAAATCTGATTGGCTGAGAATACAGAATGAATACTCTGAGCATGCTCAACAAATTGGGACCGGCCAGAGGTCTCGATTCTTCGTGCTGACCAAAAGGATCGTGGCCTCTGAGGACGAGAATGGCACACAAGTCGCTAGCGTGCGACCCACATGCATTTATTTACTCGAATATTCGCATACTGTGCCTGTAAAAATAACTGTGGAAGACAGAAGAACTTCTTACCCAGCTAACCTCATTTCTTACAGCACAGTCGTTTTGTGATCTCGTCGGTTTCATCTGATGATTTGTTATTATCGACAATTTGAGGCGCTGTTCGCCCTGTTCGCTATCGCCTGGCTATCGTGAGTGTTTACGCGAAAGTTTGTTCCTGTTACATGTTACCTGTCAAAGTCCTATTGTTAGAGAAAGTTGATCCCTCTATGGTATTGATCAGAATAGACGTTTAGGTGTCATA